CCATTTCCCTTTTTCCTTCTGCCTGTTTCTCTGCTGCGACACTGTCAAAACCTATCAGTGAGCCCCTGTAACAACCAAATACATTAAAAAAAACAAACAAACAAACAAAAAAAAACTATCATACCAAAACCTAGGCAGTGCCATGGTCAGATGTGTGCTGGGAATTCAGCAGGATGGACACAGGGAAGTCAGAGTGGAAGCTGTCCTTCAAGGTTCCAGGGAAGCACTGCCACCTCTCTGCAGCCTCCTATGGGCCCTGTATCAGCAGTGACCATAGGTCATCACCATCCCCTGCTTTGTTTGTGTCCTGGCTACCCAGACATTATTTACCTTTGGGCCCCCAATACCCACACATGAGCCCCTGCCCCCCCAAGTTCCTTGTGGAATGAAGACCTGATTGAACAAACAGCCAAGAAAACTCCGGCACCAGTTTACTACAAATTCAATTTCCTAAAAACCCTAAAAGTGACCCTGAGCTCAGAGAAAGACACAGCACTGGAACTAAGCATGCCAGATGGTCACTGCCTTTCTCTTCTTGGTAAATGGATTTCATAAAATTTACACCTGTCCTGTGGTAATTACGCCCCCAAGAGCATCTCTGACAGTCCGAGTGTAAGTACCAGAAATACCAGAAAGTGTTACAGTTTTTTCTCTACTCTTCCTTATTGATGTTCAAATGTTAGTCAACTCTTATAAATGAAACAAAACCCAAGTCAGTGTGCGTATGAACCCAGTTCATACGACTGCTCCTTACAGACCATGTTGCTTTCCTGGGCTTGTCTCCAGGCTCCAAGACAGGCAGTTGTTTCATGGTGTCCTACACAGAAGAAAGAAAGGCACTCTTTAGATATCGGATTACCTAAAACAACAAATCAGGGCAAGCCTCAAACTCCTTTCAAACCTCTCCTGTTGAATGTTCTAATAGCTAAGGCCTGATTAATCTGAATAAGCATCACTGCCAGCCCTTTTTATATTTCATTTTGAGGAAGTCTTGCTAAATCACCCAAACTGGGCTGCAAGTTGCCATTCCCCTTCAGGCTCCTGAGCAGCTGGGATTACTGACATGTGCCACCAACCTTGTCACAGGAAATTTTGTCTATCCTTTTCCTTTTTGGTGCTAGAGGTTGAACCCAGGACTTCACGCACCAGGTGAGCAGTCTCCTTGTAAACTACACCCTAGCCATTAACATAGCTATGTAAGATTTTTGGCTACACTTTTTCTTGGAATCTCATGGGAAAGGGCCCTATATAAGA